TTTTTGACTGTTTCGCAGATCTTCTTTTAGAAAGAATAAAGAATCATCTGCAAATAATAAATGAGAAACTGGAGGACCACCAACACTAACTCTCAGAGCTTGAAGTTCATGTGAGGTTGTTTCTTGGTGAATCATTGAGCTTAAAACATCAGCGCACAAGATAAACAAAGTAGGAGATAGCAGGTCACCCTGTCTGATACTCCTGGTTCCTTGAAAATGACCATAGGAACTACCATTGACTAGAACCGAGAAAGACACCGTGGAGACACATTGCATAATTAACATTATCCAATGTTCACTAAAACCTTTTTCGCATATCCTCCTCTAAGAGCTTCCATTCAATTCTATCATAAGCTTTACTTACATCTGTCTTCACTGCCATGTAATTTTCAGACACTCGTTTTCTAACTTTCAGGGAATGAAAGACCTCGTGTGCCAAAAAAGTATTATCAGCAATGTGTCTACCTGGAATAAATGCTGCTTGATTCTCAGATATGACCTTATTCAGAATTGCTTTCAAGCGTAATGATTAGATTTTAGATATTATCTTATACATTACATTACACAAACGCAATCGGTCGGAAGACTTTCATTGTTTGTAGGATTGTGATCTTAGGGATTAGGCAAAGGTTCGTATGTTGAAAAAATGTCTCACTTCCTCTGTAACCGCTGGGCCAACTATATCTCAGTAATTTTGATAGAAGCTAGCAGTAAGTCCATCAGGTCCAGGCGCCCGTGTAGGAACAATTGAGAAAACACTTCGTCTTACGTCCTCCTCCGTTATTTGACGTAGTAAAAAAAGCATTGTTCTCATCTGAAACCACAGTCTGAATATTGGATAAACTCTGAAGAATATTGCCCTGATTCTGTGTTGTGAACAAATCAGAATAGTATTTTTCTGCTTCTTTTGCAATCTCCTTATTGCCAAAAATCTCATCACCAATGCTATTGTGAATACTTAGTATTTTGTTACGTGCACGTCGCTTTCTTGTTGAAGCATGAAAGAATCGTGTATTCCTATCACCAAAATTTAGCCAGAGGACTCTACTTTTGTATCTCCAAATTCCTCATCCTTGTAAGCCTGCAACAGATCTTTGCGTAATTGCTGTATCTCGCTATATGAAACCATCGGATCAGAATGAGCAATATCGATTGATTCTGTTAATGCTTTAATACGCTTAGAAGAGTTGGTGCTGTTTGCTTTTTCCCACTGAGAAAATAGCATGTCAACACTTCCATATACGATTAGACACATATATTTGTTCATTTGCATCTACATCATTCCATCCCGAGATGATCACTTCTTTGAAACCCTTACGTCCAATAAGGCGGCTACCAAAGCAAAAATATTGTTTTTCCAAACTCAGTAGTTCGTCTAGTTTGAATGATTGCAGGTTGATGATCAGATTCTATCATCTCTAAATAAGTAATGTTTGTAGCAAGATAAGTTTCCCTAAACTCATCATTACCAAAACCCCGATCTAACCAACTTTGTATCGAGTGCCCTTTTTGGTACCCAGACCAAGTCATATTATTGCCATTAAAGGGTAAGTCTTGTAATTTGCAAGCATGAACCATTTGGTTAAAATCCACGAGACTCCAAGGCTCTCGAGGTTTACCACCAATCTTTTCCTCTGGTTTTAAAACTTCATCAAAATGTCCACATAGTAACCACGGCCCAGAACGTGTAGATGACATTCTCTGTAATTTTTCCCAGAGATGTTTACGTAAAGCTCGAACGGGATGGCCATATATACACATGAAATACATAGAACCATCTTTATTATTAATCATACAATCAAAAATACGTTCATCCATAGCGTTAATGACAAGATCAACATCATTGTTCCATAATAACGCCAACCCACCCCTATTCCTCTAGGAGATACACAGCGAACACGATTAAAATCTAGTTGTGTACACACGTCTCGAACAATGTCGCCAGAGTTCTTTGTCTCGATCAGAAAGAGTACGTCCATGGAAAAAGCTGACTTCATCCCTTGTAGGTGTCGAACTGTCAAGGACCCTTTCAAGCCTTGACAGTTCCAAAAGGCTGTATTCATTCTGAAACCAGTGGCTTCTGTCCCACTGTACCCCTCACGATCATTTGGTTTGTTTTGGCTTGGTATCGATGCATGAGAAGTACTTGCCTCCGGATCATTCACGCGTTGGAACCATTGCCTTGCATCACGTAACTCTCTTTTCCTCCTTGAAATCTTGGAGACATGCTCTCTTGACTCATCATAAGCCAAGTCTTGTCTGGATTCACAACAGACATAAGTCATCTCTGTAACAGGAGCAGATGACTCTGTTTTATGCTTTTTGCTTGGTGTTCTGTCTGGATTAGAGGTACCAGTCTCCATTTGTAGAGAATAATCAGGAGACTTGTGGTAACCCGGTGTATCAAAACCCAGAGGATGTCCATATTCTTCATCTCCATCATCGTTATCATTGTGTGGATCGTCATCATTTCTCTGACTCTGGTTTTGTGGACATTCCATTGAATCATGGGTCATATACCACACACATGAAAAAAACCCCGTAGCTTCTCATAGCGCATCTTTATAACAGCATTTTGGTCTCCAAACCTAAATATACGTTGAAAACGCAAAGGAAAATTAACGTTTAGAAGTAAAAGAATCCTTACATAGTCAACGTTTTGGGTGCCATTAGACTGAAAGTCTGTTTCCACAAACTGGCCTAAAATATGACCAATATGCACCACCATACGTTCAGTTAGGAATTGAGATGGAATTCCTTGAACTTGGACCCAAAAAGTCATATGTTGCAAATCATCATCAACAAAGTAATGAAACCATCGTTAAAGAGACACCATCCATTCATTGAAAGACACTTGTTGTGTTCAAACATACGCCCACCACTTCATTCGCTACACCTACAAATGCGGAAAAGCCGATAATAGTGCCCGAGTGTTCTGTTTTCTCGGGTTTAAAGTTTTCCCAATCAGCGAAATCGAGTTTCCTCGATAGCTTCTTCACATATCTCAGCAGGGAGATCAACCATGTCGTCGTTGATCCCCAATGTGATTTCTTGTAACTATTTTCTTACTCAATCAGACATGATGAGTATGAACAAAGGAAAGATTCCCTTACTCTGATTTAAAAACAGAGATATAAACCCATTAAATAGAGAAACAAATTTAGCAATTAAGAAATCAGTAACCGCAAAACCGTTTATCCACTGTGGACATAACTGTCGACAACTGCCGACGACACAAACTCCCCGGAGGGAGACATACGACAATGAAAAGGGAACAACACACCTTTTCGAAAAATCGCCTTTGCTCTCGTTTTTCTCTCTCAATTTTCTATTTTAATATCTGTAAGTTTTTTAATAAGTACCAATTTAGTTTAAAAACATATCTAAAGAAAATATCTATAACCAAAAATCTAAAACCACTAACAGTTGTAACTAATGGGAGGCTCTCTGTAAATGCTTTCACTGAACCATCGCCTTCAAAGTATAAAACTTCTTCTCCGTTCCTTTTTTGTTTGTTTGTTAATTCTCCATATATATATATTCACAACTTCTCTAATTCACTCAAACTTTTTTTCTCTCTCTCTCCACTCCTACTTTCCTCTCTATATATTTATCTCCCCCCCCCACCAATCTACAGAGCTTGAAACAATAACATGAAGCATCTCTATTTTAAAGTTTGCAAAACTCTATATTTGAAGTTTGTAGGTGTTATGCTCCAGAAACAAAACTTCAAATTTAAGTTTAAAACTATTTGTATTTTATACTATGTTCCTTATATTTGTCATAACTAGTTTAAATTCATAGAACTTTTATAAATAACTAGCACATATATAAAACTATTACTGCAATATTAAATGGTAAAATATTATACTAAAATATGAATTATTAATAGAAATATATAATTAAATGTTAAACTATAAATAAAATATCACCTTAAGTTTTGTAATATTGTTGTTGTCTAGTTCTAATTTTAACTATTTTTAATCTTATCTTGTTTTTTTGTGAAAACAATATGTGTAAAATTTAAATTTATAAAAAAAACTTGAAATATTAACGAGATATGAATTTTCAAGGGTTAAAATAATAAAACATAAAATATATAAGACTTATAAATATATGTATAATTGTAAGAACCAAAATGCAAACAAAAATATGAAACTTCAAATTTGAAGTTTTGAGTAGTGACACTCTATATTTGAAGTTTCACTACTCAAAATTTCAAATTTGAAGTTTTAGAGTTCCTTTTTGGAGAACCAAAAATTTCATATTTGAAGTTATAGAGTATCTTTTAGAGAAGCTCTAAGGTAGTCTCTCCTTCATCCGGATATTTATGCTCAGCTTTATCCGAATATTTCCAACCATCATTGACTTTTCCTTCTCTCACTCCTCTTTTAAGGGATGATTGGTAAGTGCTGTGGGTGCTGTCCACAGCTCCTTTTCTTTCTACAGCCACTTTATTATACCAATCATAGTTTAGAAAATTAATTTAAAGCTACAGCCCTAAATAAAATGGCTTTGGAAATCAGTTTTTCTAGAGCTTTACATTTAGTGCTTTGAAAGTTATTAATATAAATCTACAGCAATAAAATCTACAGCTACAACAGTAAAATCTACCGCTATTATTATTCCAAAGTACTCGTCCTTTTTTTTTTCTTTTGCTCCCAATCTCATAGATTCCTCGTTTGGGTTTGACTTTACAATACAAGTTTGGAGTCATGATCAGAGTCGTGTTTGCTCTGTTTCACTCCTTACATACGCTATGAGTAGATTCCCTCAAAACCGTTACCCTCTGTTTTACTTTTTTTTGTTATGTTTTAAACTTTCCCTTTATGGATGCTCACATACATAAAAAGGGCTTTTATGTTTCTTCCTTCCTTACATTATCTTTTGCCTTTTATTAAATTTGAGAATCTTGTACGGATCGTCTCTATCTATTTAGATGTATAATTGCCATTACTGGGTTTTCTTTCAGGATGTTGGAGAAGGTTGAGAGTTTCAACATGAACAGAGTCGTCGACGACTTTGAGGAAATGAGCAGAAAAGCTGATCAAGTCCAGAAACAAACATTAAAAGACATTCTACTCAAGAACCAATCCGCCATTTACTTACAAAAATTTGGGATCAATGAAAACACAACAGACTCAGAAGCTTTAAAAGCATTGATTCCATTAGTCACTGACTTTGAGTTAGAGCCTTTCATCCAAAGAATGGTGGACGGTGACACTGTTGAAGCCAGAAAACCGGATTGACATAAACGATATAAGAAAGACGGAGTTAAGGAAATAGACGATTATATAAGACATGGAGGCGAGATAAATCTCTTTCCTTAACTCTTAATATTCGCTCCGTAGTGAGACGAAACTGTACGAATATCGAGTCCCAGGATACAACCATGGCAGACGAATCACGCTTCACTCGTGAAACGACCTAACGAACATAAATTCTACGAACACTCTCTGAAAACTTACGCAGAGAGATTGCTGGATTTTTCTGTGTAAAAAACGATAACAAATGAGAGAGGAGGAGAGGACTATTTAAAGAAGAAACGAGAGTTCAAATTTCGTAACTGGCGGAGCACGTTAGCGAAATATTCTCCGAGATCTCGGGAGTGGAGAGTTGAGAAACTTTCTCCGCAAGATTTTCTTCTTTGACTCGTTCTGATCTTTTACGAACATATAAACTCCATGTTGTTTTTAAGACAAACATCATGTCGTTTACAAAAACATCATGCTGTTTTTCTATTTAAAAACGGCAAAGCGTTGAGCTTAATTTGGTCCAAAAAGATAACTTCTTATCGGGCCAAAGGCCCTCTAATAAAGCGCAAGCCCAAGCCCAAGCCCAAGCCCAAGCTCAAACCCACACCGAGCCGGCCGGACAGCGGCGGCGGCGCGCGCGTGGAAGCCTTTCTCTCTCTCCAAGCTGTTTAATTAGCTTAGATGAGATAGCATATATATACTACTCATTCTCATTGTTTCTCCCCGATGTGGGACTTTCTTTACTTCCTCTTCATTATTATGCCACAAAGGCTTTCATTGAATTGGGCCAATCCCATTTCTTTTTCACCTTTAATTTACCAAGCCCATGGCTTTGTTAATTATCCAACAATCCCCCACATGAATAGAAATGACTCTAAACATATGCAGACTATATGCAGACTCGATAGACTCTAAAAAATATTTATTCTAATCCTGACTAGACTAGACAGACTTATCGAGAGTGTTTGCGAAAAATTCACTGTGTTTGAGTTGGTGGCATTTTAAAGCCTTGAACCACTCATAGTTAATATCTGTCGGGTTTACTTTACCAGAAGGTGAACATGATGTCTTGAACCAACCGATGATTTATGTAGACCGAGACAACATGCATAACGCAGCTTCATTTTCTCATAGAAATTAGTTCTCTATTGTGTTCATTATGGCCCTGAACTATTCCTGGTTTTCATGAGTGAACTTAGAGAATATAGCCTTGCATTCATTCTCCTAGAAACGGCCTCATTTCACACTCACTAGGTGATTGACCATGAAAAGTATTGAGTAATACTTCGCTTTAGAAGCTATGGAATCATTAAAAGCTAATGCTTATCCTTACGTTTCGTAGCACTTTTATCATCTTAGGAGCTGGGAAGAGACTACTTTGTCTCAAGTTCTTTGGTTAGATCATGTTCGATTTTGTTTTCCCTTTGAACCTACGTCTTGGGATCTCCAGTCATGATAGATAGGGTTGCAATCAAACATCTCCATTTGTAATAGGCTTTAAACCCATTCCTTTAGATGATTTAGCAACAATATCTCGAGTGTAAAGACATATCCACTTGTGGATTTTGAGTTTTTAGAATCTGATATCCAGTTTGCGTCACTGTATCCTTCTAAAACTGCTGGTTCTTTACCATAGTGAAGCCCAAAATCTTTGGTGTAGCGCAGGTAATTGAGTACTCTCGTTATAGCGTTCCAATGTGTATGACCTGGATTACTTGTATATTGACTCAGTACGTTTACTGCATGCGCTAGATCTGGTCTTGTGCAATTGGTCAAGTACATGAGACTTCCAATCAAACGTGCATACTCATTTTGTGAAACCGCTTCCCCTGAGTTCTTCGTCAAGTGCATTTGGGGATCTAACGGAGTTTTTGCCGTACTATTAGAGTAATTTTTAAATCTCTCCAATATTGTTTCAGCATAATGAGCTTGGGTTAATATAATTCCTTTTGAATTTCTTGTTACTTTAACTCCGAGAATTACATCTGCTACTCCCAAGTCTTTCATCTCAAATTTCCCTTTGAGCATGTTCTTTGTTTGACTGATAATATCTTTATTGCTTCCAATAATGAGCATATCATCTACATATAGACATAGCAAAACATACGCATTTTTGGTAGTTTTGTAGTATATGCATTTNGATAATATCTTTATTGCTTCCAATAATGAGCATATCATCTACATATAGACATAGCAAAACATACGCATTTTTGGTAGTTTTGTAGTATATGCATTTGTCACATTCATTAATTTTGAAACCATTTGACATCATAGTACTGTCAAATTTTTCGTGCCATTGTTTAGGAGCTTGTTTAAGCCCATAAAGTGACTTTACTAGTTGGCATACTTTGCCTTCTTGTCCAGAAATGACAAAACCTTCAGGTTGTTTCATGTAAATTTCCTCTTCTAAATCACCATTTAGAAAAGCGGTTTTTACATCCATTTGATGGATTTCAAGGTCTCTTAAGGCTGCGATTGCTATCACAATCTTATTGATGTTATTCTCGTTACTCGAGAATATGTATCAAAATAGTCATGGCCTTCCTTTTGTCGGAATCCTTGAACTACAAGCCTAGCTTTATATTTTCCACCAGGTTTTCGCGTCATTATCCATTTTTTTTCTAATGCTTTGCAGCAAGGTGGTAAATCTGTTATGTACCATGTATAATTTTGCATGATAGAATCAAATTCACTTCTGACAGCTTCGTTCCAAAACGGAGCTTCTGGTGAAGCCATGGCCTCTGCCAAAGTTTTTGGAACATTTTCTACTAGAAATGCCATTAAGAAATCTTCTCCAAAGAATTTTTCCTTTCGAGCTCTTTTGCTCCTTCTAGGTTCATCTTTTTCATTTTTTGAAATATCATTTGTAGAAATCTCGACGTTTGTCTCAGTTTCTGAAACATTGTCGTTGTCTCTTTCTTCTCGAATTCGTTTTGAACCTTGTTTTTCCTTGCATGGAAAAATATTTTCAAAGAAAGATGCATTTCTTGATTCCATTACAGTATTTTCATGGATATCTGATATTTCAGATTTATGTACCAGAAATCGATAAGCACTACTATTATGTACATATCCGATGAAGATGCAATCCACTGTTTTAGTTCCAATAGTGACCTTTTTTGGTGGTGGTACCGCAACTTTTGCTAAGCACCCCCACACTTTGAGGTATTTATACGATGGTAAATTACCTTTCCATAATTCATATGGAGTTTTGCCAGTTACTTTGTGTGGAATTTTGTTGAGGATATAATTAGTGGTAAGCAGCGCTTCCCCCCACAGGTTCTGGGGCAACCTTGATTCCTGCAACATTGCATTCATCATCTCTTTTAGAGTTTGATTTTCGCGTTCAGCAACTCCATTAGATTCTGATGAGTAAGGGGCTGTAGTTTGATGAATTATTCCATGTTCTTTACGGAATTCATTGAATGGCCCATCATACTCGCCTCCTCTATCGCTTCTAACTATTTTAATAGTTGTTTTAAGCTGATTTTCTACCTCGAGTTTAAATTCTTTGAATTTTTCTAAGGTTTCATCTTTGCTTCGTAATAAGTATACATAACAATATTTTTTGCAGTCATCTATGAAGGTCACAAAGTACTTTTTCCCACCTCTAGTTTGTATATATTTTAAATCACATAAATCGGTGCGAATTAAATCTAGAGGTTTGTTAGTTCTTTCAACATGAGATGAGGGTGTTTTTGTGAGCTTAGTCTGTACGCATACTTCACATTTTAGTTTACTTGTTTTACATTTTGGGATTAGATTTAGATTCATTAATCTTTGTATTGATTTGTAGTTCACATGACCTAATCTTTCATGCCAAATATTAAAAGACTCAACCAAATAAGCAACTGACTCTTTCTTATTCATTGAAACTTTTGGAGCTACAACTTTTGGAAGGACTGTCATTACATTCATTTTGACCAGTCCATCCTTAACATACCCCTTTCCCAAATACACCCCATTCTTCCTAATCACGAGCTTGTCCGTCTCAAGAGATGTGGCGAATCCATTCTTGCTGAGCAAGGTTCCCGAAACCGAGTTCTTCCTCATGTCAAGCACATGCTTCACATTCTGCAGAGTGACTTCACGTCCAGATGTCATCTTCAGAACCACCTTGTCGCGGCCTTCAATCTTGGAGACTGCTTTGTTCCCCATGAACAGCTTCTCCTGAGTCTTGCTTTTCTGATAAGTGCTGAACATCGCCCTATCAGTGCAAATGTGGGTGGTGGCACCAGTATCATACCACCAATCTTTGGGGTTGTTGTTTTCAACCATGTTGACTTCAGTCACCACTGCAACGAGATCTTTCTCCGTGAGATTCACATGAGCCTTCTCATCTCTGATCTTGCTGCGACACTCAACAGTCTTGTGACCATTTTTCTGACAGTAGTGGCACTTTCCCTTGAATTTCTCCACATTCTCATTGTTTTCATTGCCTTTGCCTTTCTTCTTGAAGTTTGGTCCAGAAACCTTCAAGTTTGCAGCTGTCTTGGAAGGCTTGGCAGGGGAGTTAGCAATTGCCTTTCCTTTACCTTTCGTTTCAGCCACATTAACACTGTGCTCATTAGCTTCGAGCTTGTCATTCTTTCGGTTTCTGGCTTCCATCTGAAGCCTCTGAATGAGATCCTCAAGTCCCATCTTCTTCTTTTTGTGCTTCAGGTAATTCTTGAATTCAGCATAGCTTGGAGGGAGCTTTTGGATGAGGCTGAGGGTTATGAATGTCTCATCTATGGATTTTCCCTCAGCCGCAATTTCATAGCAAATGAGCTGATACGCTTCCACCTGATCCATGATGGGTTTTGAATCCACCATTTTGAAGTCATGGAATTTTGCAACTACATACTTCTGGCAGCCAGCGTCTTCACCTCTATACTTCTTGTCCAGCGATTTCCAGAGCTCTTTAGCCGTTGGAATCTCACAGTAGACTTGGTACAATGGGTCAATGANTCATGGAATTTTGCAACTACATACTTCTGGCAGCCAGCGTCTTCACCTCTATACTTCTTGTCCAGCGATTTCCAGAGCTCTTTAGCCGTTGGAATCTCACAGTAGACTTGGTACAATGGGTCAATGAGACGACCCAAAATGTAGCCTTTGCAGATGAAATCCGAATGCACCCAACTTTCAACACTTGAGAAGACGTGCAATTCGTCAATCCCGTGAGGGATAATGGGCTTATCTTCCTCGATGAATTTGTCCAACTTGCAAAAACTGAGGAAGAACAACATCTTCTTCTGCCACGTTTTGAAGTCTTTGCCATCAAATTTGTCTTGCATCATATTCTGAGAGATGAACACCAGGAATAGCCGGAGGAGTCGCAACTGCAAACCGGAACACTTGTGGATCCTTGAATTGGACCCGTTTGATAAAGACCAGCAACGAACAGGCTACGGCGTGTGGTCTCATCAGGAATAGCACCCACTGGAAGGGTCGCATCGGTTGATACAGCGTTCGTCACGCTGGTTGCAACAGGTGATGTCGCGTTGAGTGGAGTCTGAGTGGCAAGGTCAATGGGGGTGTTATCATCGTTCATCATTTTTTTTTCTGTAAAGAAAATATGAAAACGGATCAGTACTCCATAAAACCATCAAATAACAACATATTATTTTTAAGCAAAAATAATAGTGTGAAATCGATTTTCATTTTTGGTAATCTGAACCAAATCATATCGATATACGTCTGGAACACGTTCTGCAAACTCGCTTATAAGCATTCGCAGAAACCGTTTAGTGTAGACTTAGAATGTTTCACAAATTCACTAAATAAAGCAATTTGTGAAAACGATTCATATATAAACGTTTTAAAAGAAACAAGTATCTAAAACGTTTCGCGGATGATGTTATAAGCAAACCGCAAATCGTTTTGAGCTAAGTAAGAAACGTTTCGCGGAAATGATAAAAACCAAATCGCAAACAGCGTTTCGAAGACCGTTTCGCGGAAGTGCTATAGAGCAAATCGCAAACACGTTTCAAGAACCCGTTTCTATACATCGCTTTTTTCAACCCGATTAAAGCTTTAGACAGAAAGCAATTAAGAGTTAAGATTGTTGAAGCCGGAAAACCGGATCGATATAAACGATATAAGAAAGACAGAGTTAAGAAAATAGAAGATTATATAAGACATGGAGGCGAGATAAATCTCTTTCCCTAAATCTTAATATACACTCCATAGTGAGACGAAACTGTACGAATATCGAGTCCCAGGATACAACCATGGCAGACGAATCACGCTTCACTCGTGAAACGACCTAACGAACATAAATTCTACGAACACTCTCTGAAAACTTAGGCTGAGAGATTTCTGGATTTTTCTACGTAAAAAACGATACCAAATGAGAGAGGAGGAGAGGAGTATTTAAAGAAGAAATGAAAGTTCAAATTTCGTAACTGACGGAGCACGTTAGCGAAATATTCTCGGAGATCTCGGGAGTGGAGAATTGAGAAACATTCTCCGCAAGATTTTCTTCTTTGACTCATTCTGATCTTTTACGAACATATAAACTCCATGTTGTTTTTAAGACAAACATCATGTCGTTTACAAAAACATCATGCTGTTTTTTATTTAAAAATGGCAAAGCATTGAGCTTAATTTGGTCCAAAAAGATAACTTCTTATAGGGCCAAAGGCCCTCCAATAAAACCCAAGCCCAAGCCCATGCCGAGCCAAGCCGAGCCGAGCCGAGCCGGCCGGACGGCGCGACAGCACGCGCGTGGAAGCCTTTCTCTCTCTCCAAGCTGTTTAATTAAGTTAGATGAGATAGCATATATATACTACTCATTCTCCTTGTTTCTCCCCAATGTGGGACTTTCTTTACTTACTCTTCATTATTATGCCACAAAGGCTTTCATTGAATTGGGCCAATCCCATTTCTTTTTCACGTTTAATTTACCAATCCCATGGCTTTGTTAATTATCCAACAGACACTTCACCGTCTCTCACCGGCCGCCCTATCCCAGCTATCTCTTTAATGTAAATATCCCTTTGCTTTTACTACTGACTGATTCTGTTTCTCAGAGACTGATCAATGGATCTCTGTTTCTTTTATACAATCTCTGTTTCCCTCTGTTTTTGTTCAGAGATTGATAATCTCTCTGTTTAACAGCTCTGGAACTAGTCAAGGCCGACCAAAGTTTGTTCCTTTTACTGATGAGTTAATAGAGAACACTATACAACTCTTTCGCACTGCTTTTGCCTTCAGAAACAGGTATAATGAATCACTGATTATGTCCACCCATTTACATAAATAGATTAATCAACTTCTAAGTATGTTATGTCTTAAAACATTGTATTGTTTTTTATTTTTTCAAATACAGAGAGTACCCTATTGATGACAATGGGAGAGCTTTGGAATTTATCTTCAGCAGCAAGCAATACATATCAACAGGAGGCGTCCCCATTGGAACAGCAACAACAAATGTTTACCGTAACCCTAACTTCAAAGCAGGGATGAAATCAATTCAATCCCTTTGTTGTAGTCCAGACGAAGTTATCTTCAGTCCTGATGTACATCAAGCCTTGTACTGCCATCTCTTATCAGGAATCCTCTTCAGAGACCAAGTTCAATACGTCTTTGCTTCCTTCGCTCACGGTCTTGTCCACGCTTTTAGAACCTTTGAACAGGTCTGGGGAGAGATCGTTACAGATATTAAAGAAGGTGTTTTAAGCAACCGTATCACCGTCCCTTCGGTACGTTACGCTATGTCTAAGCTTCTCAAACCTAACCCTAAGCTAGCGGAGACGATTAGAACTAAGTGTTTGAGTTTGAGCAACTGGTATGGGTTGATTTCCGCATTTGTTCTCGAACGCAAAGTATGTTTATGGGATCATGACTGGCTCCATGGAGCTGTATGTGAAGAAGCTGAGACATTACGCTGGTGAGTTACCTCTTGTGAGTCATGACTATGGTGCCTCGGAAGGGTGAATTGCTGCTAATGTGACACCGTGGTTGCCTCCAGAGGAAGCTACGTTCGCTGTGGTTCCGAATCTAGGTTACTTCGAGTTTCTCCATGTTTCTGAAACAGGGAAGGAACAACCGGGTGGTTTAACTGAAGTCAAGATAGGAGAAGAGTACGAGGTTGTCATCACAAACTACGCAGGACTATATCGTTATAAGCTTGGAGATGTGGTGAAGATCGTTGGTTTTTACAACAACAGTCCACAACTCAAGTTCGTATGCAGGAGGAACCTGATTCTCTCCATCAACAACGACAAGAACACTGAGAGAGACCTTCAGCTTTCGGTAGAGTCAGCAGCAAAGAGACTCTCAGAAGAGAAGATTGAAGTCATTGACTTCTCAATCCATGTTGATGTAACGACAGAGCCAGGACATTACGTTATATTCTGGGAGATTTCAGGTGGGACAGACGAAAATGTTCTTCAAGATTGCTGCAACTGTCTAGACAAAGGGTTCATTGATGCAGGGTATATGAGTTCTAGAAAATGCAAGAAAATTGAAGCTTTGGAGCTGAGAATTGTGGAGAGAGGAACTTTTAGGAAGGTTCAAGAACATTTTCTGGGGCTTGGTTCATCGGCTGGACAGTTTAAGATGCCAAGATGTGTGAAACCTAGTAATGCTAAGGTTCTGAAGATTCTATGTGAGAATGTGGTGAGTAAGTTCTTCAGTACAGCTTATGACCGAGTATTGTGAAATCAAGGAAAGTGGTATTCTGACTATCTTTATTGTCAATACAAATATTAGTTACTTTTATTATTTAAAACACCATGTGAAAACCTTTTATATCTTTATGAATAGAAATATATGTAACACAGTGGTTTTACTTTGCAAAATATATGATAGCTCAAGAGATGTTTCATGTTTTAAGAACAAAGCCGAGTGGACGCAATAAGAGGATGGCTATTAAAACAGACATGAGCAAGGCATATGATCGAATGGAATGGTCCTTCATTGAGGCCACCATGAGAAAGATGGGATTCTCAGAAGTCTGGATAACCTGGATTATGCGATGCGTAACATCAGTAAAGTACAAGGTCCTTATGAATGGACAGTCGAGAGGGAATATTGTCCCGGAGAAAGGTCTACGACAGGGGAACCCTTTGTCCCCTTTCACTTTTATTCTATGCACGGAAGCGCTCGTTAGCCTTCTTAATCATGCAGAGAATCAGGGAAAGATAACAGGGATGCATATCACGCGTGCGTGTCCTTCGGTATCTCACTTACTCTTTGCTGATGATTGTCTTTTCTTTTGTAAGGCGGAGCCCCGTGAATGCGAAGAAGTAATGAAAGTGGTCAGAAAATATGGACAAGCTTCTGGACAATGCATTAATTTTGACAAGTCATCTCTACTCTTTGGTAAGAGAATCGGACAAGAGGTCAGGCAAGAAATCAAAGATACTCTTGGGATCCACAATGAAGCAGGGATGGGAACTTACTTAGGGATTCCAGAGGATATCAGTGGTTCCAAATGTAAGCTTTTTGCCTTCCTAAAAGATAAGCTTAGGAATAGAGTAAATGGATGGACGGGCAGGTAGTTATCGAAGGCGGAAAGGAAGTAATAAAGTCAATCCTGCTAGCTCTCCCAACTATGTAATGTCTTGCTTTCTGCTCCCATTGGAGATATGTGATGCCTTGGCTAGTCCCATTTCACAATTCTGGTGGAGCTCGAACCAACCAAAATGAGGTTTACACTGGTCAACATGGGACAAGTTATGCTTATCTAAAGAGGAAGGGGGAATTGGCGTCAGGATGATCCATGAGTTTAACCTAGCATTGTTAGCCAACCAGTTGTGGAGATTGACTCAATACCCGGATTCCCTGGTAGCTCGAGTTATGAGAGGTCGGTATTATCGGTTGAGCTCGCCTTTGCGAAAGCTCACTGTCAGTAGCCCATCGTATGTGTAGACAAGCATATCGGCGGCACGAGAATTATTGATGCTGGGGGTTAGACAGAAAACACATTCAGGATATGATGTGAAAGTATGGGAAGACCCTTGGATTCCCACAATCCCAGCATCTTCAACTGTTCTGGTGTTGCATCAGAACATGAGAGTGAGTGATCTTATTAATCAAGAGACAAAGTCTTGGGATATGGATCGGTTGGGGAATTATGTTGAGGCTGCTGATATACATATCATAAGAAGTATGACTATTAGCTCAACACATCGTAGAGATACGCATTGCTGGAGCTACACAAGGAGTGGACAGTACACAGTCAAGTCTGGCTATTGGGTTGCTAGAAATATATTGATGAAGGAGGATGATAATATGGTGGGGGAACCTAGTATTACAAAACTCCAAGCACATGTCTGGAAGGTTAAAGCACCCCCGAAGATGTGCCATCTTATGTGGCAGATTATAACAGGTCATGTGGCTGTTACGACTGCTTTGAACCATAGACACATGAGATGTGACAATTTTTGTCCACGATGCGGAGAACCGGAAGAAACAATTGCATATGCAATCTTTCAATGCCCACCTGCATTACAGGTGTGGGCTTTAGCATCTATACCTACCAGCTCAACTTTATTCCCATTGCAGAGCACATATGCGAACATGGATTATCTATTTTGGAGGAAGAAGACCATAATGGAGCAAGAATTAGACAGGGATCCTTATCCTTGGCTAATATGGTACATTTGGAAGGCTCGGAACGATAAACTGTTTCGAGGAATTGATAGGGATCCTCTGGAACTAGCCCGGTATGCGGAGAGTGAGTGCCTTGCCTGGTTCCAAGCCAATGAGCAGGAAATCGTGCCATCGCAAGGAAACATAGATGCTGAAAGCCAGGTCATAAGTCTAGGAGATATATGTTTGGTAGACGGTTCTTGGACTTCTACAGATCAATTCTCAGGTTGTGGCTGGAATTGGAAGGATAGCATGGGAAATTGTCAGTTGATGGGCATGCGTAATGTTAGTAGGGTGGAGTCGGTTTTGCACTCTGAGCTGGAAGCACTGCGGTGGGCAATGGAGAATATGCTTCAACATTCGCCATGTCAGAGCTTTGGGACAGACTGCAAGGAATTGATAGCGATGCTCACAAACTCCCATGAATGGCCAAGTTTTTCGACAGAACTGGAGAGGCTCTTGACGCTGCGGATTTGCTTCCCAGATTTCAAGATATTTTATGTTCCTAGGTCTCAAAATGTTGTGTCCGATTCTTTAGCTAAGACTGCTCGATCCTTCTATCGTGAACTGATGTTTGTTGGTTGTTCTATTCCGGTGTGGATTTCCAGACCACCTCAAGCTTGAGTAATAGATCAGCCTTTCGTTGTCAAAAAAAAAAAAAACAATCCTTTATATTTTAAAAGGGAAATATTTTTAAAGAATAACATTACCTTTATGTGTGATTAACAAAATTGGCATTATTTAGTTAGCAACCTCACAATCATTTTTACTCCATTTATAAGAATAAGCATAATTTACTAGATTATTTACAATTCAATGACATTAAACCCTAGGTTGCATGAAATCGAAAATGAATACGTGGAAACGAAACGTTTCGAAACGTGGAAACATGAAAACATGATTTTCGAAAAAAAGAAAGAAAAGAAATGAAAACATTTTATAAACGTCTATAATATAAAACTATGGAGTAACTTCATTCCAAATCAAATCATTATACAAAAATAATAACAAATATCAAAAGATAATATTAAAATATAAAATAATAAATATGTAATTAATAACATCAAATGTCAAATAGTTATATTTTGCGTTTCTAATTAGAATCGCGAGTTTCCAAATCAGAAACACAAGTTTATATCGTGTTTTCAAAATGAAATTTTCAAGAAACGTGTTTCCAAAGAGTTTCCTTGAGTATCTAAGAGATTCTGATTCCGAAACGTTTCCGAAACAGAAAACGGACCTTGAACGAAGTTTCCATGCAACCTAGATTAAACCTATGTCTTCTTATGATATAATGTTACATCATGTTACCAATAATTCATTTATAAATGAACCTTTAAGTTGTCATGGCAATTTTGAAATACCTAAGTTTACTTAATATTATAATTCTCCATATATATATATATATATAGCTAAGTTTTGTAATTTTCTGTAACATAGATATAGCTATGTTTCAACCATATTTTGACTAATTTTTCCTTCAAACAGTTTATATTTACTAAAAAAAAATTGTATATTTTAAAATAATATGTATATGTATTATTTGGATGAGCTCCCCTAAAAATGCATTATATTTACTAACATTTATATTATAATATAATATGATCTGGTGTAAATATATGTTATCTATCCAAAATTTAGGTGAATATTAAAAAATATATAATGTCACTATTCACCTATAGATTATAGTCATATATGGATTTTGGAAATATCATATAACAGATATTATAACTATAGAATTTGAATATTTTATAGTACGGATTTATAACATATATTGTTGATCCCATAAATATCGTCTTAACTATTGGCAAGCTAAAATTTAGGGAATGAATATAGCATCTCTTGCGCAAGAATCAAGCTAAATTGATCTTGGAAATATTAGTTAACTCTGAAATCATATTCAAAAATATTTATTAACTCAAATGAAAATACACATCAAAACTTCACTAATATAAATTTATTATTGGCTCAAGCACATCTTAACAGAATATTTA